ATTTATTTTGTATACAGTGTTCTGCCTGCATGCCAGAAGAGGGCACCAGTTCCCATTACAGATGGTTGGGAGCCACCATGTGGTTGCTGGGAATTGAATTCAGGACCCCTGGAAGAACAGCCAGTGCTTTTAAACGCTGAGCCATCTCTCCAGCCCCCTTTCTGTTATTTTTACATTTCAATTCTAAGTTCCTTGAGGCTCAGGAATGTTGACATTTGCATCCCTCTGCCTTCTCCATAGTGTAGAGCAGTGGTTCTCCACCTTCCTAATACTGCAACCATTTAATACAGCTCCTCATGCTGTGCTGACCCAACTATAAAATTATTTCCTACTGCTACTTCATAACTCTGATTTTGCTACTATTAATGTTAGATCTGTGTTTCCCCATGGTTTTAAGAAACCCCTGTGAAAGGGTCAGGTGATCCTAAAATGGGTTGTGACCCACAGGTTGAGAACCTTTGGTGTAGGTAAGTGATCCAACAAGCTCACTTTTTTGGTTTGAAAACCCACCAATCCCTGAGCTCAATCAAATCCCACCAATCCCCAACCTGGAAATCTCTACCCTAGAAAGCTCCTCCCCCAAGAAGCCCTATAGAAGCCTGTCTCCTGCTCAGCTCTTTGCTGCTTCTCAACTGAGCAGAGGCAGCCACCCTCTCCCAAAAAATCTCTCGTGTGAGGTTTGTTGTGCGGTGTGACTTTGTGGTGTTCTTTGGCTCCCAACTGCCTGGATACCTCTCCCTCAGAGCTGAAACACTTGTACAGGGGAACCTCTCCCTCAGAGCTGAAACCTTACGCTCAGCACCTACCGTAAGACCTGCTGGTGAAAGCACGTGGTCTGTTCTACCAGCCTCCTCTAGCTTTGAGGACAAGTGCCTGCCTCAGCCCACCTTTGAGCTCCCAGTGTCTAGCACAGATTACAGACACAAGCTGGTGCACACCAGCTGATAATGTCACTCACAGGGGTATCTAACGTTAGTGTGCCTGTGCTATGAGTCACCAGGTCAGGCACTGGGTAGGATACAAAGTATATTATAACATGGACACCCAAGTTCCCTGTTCTATCTTCCAGTAGAAGAAAAGAGACAATAAACTAGTAATTGAAACACATCTTAATCTTCATCAGTGTTCTAAGGAAACCCAGTGGCTGCTGCTGCTAAGAGTGAATTAGGGAGAGTCTCCCTCGGTAGGCAGTTTGGCGGGAAAGGGACTGGGCGTTTACAAGTGGACAGTGTGCTTGGAAAGATGATGGGGCCGGAAATGCCCCCAAGTGCCCTGGGATGCGCTCTCGGGCCTGGCTCAGTACTCTTAGGATCTCACCAGTAACATCATTTCAACACGTATGCAAAAACCACACGAAGACTACACAAAAAGAAGCTGGACAACCTGCTGCTGTCCCTGAGCCATCCCTGAAACGGCAGATCGATCCTCTTCCCAGCTCTGCCGACGCTGCAGGCCCCACCAGGTACCAGCACCAAGTTTCCATTCCACACCCTCGTGCTCAAGGCTCCATGACACCGCCTCTGCCCCGAGTCCTCCGCTACTCAAGCCCATCTTTCCACTGCCTTTGCCGTCTGTCAATCACAGGGGGGAAACAAAGAGGAGGAAACCCCCTTCTCTGATTTCTTACAGAACGACTTTTCCTTTGCCAAAGTATGAGGATTGGTGCCCACTACAAACTGTCTGCACGGCTGCTTCTCAGGGCTTTAACTGCTCCCCCTTGTTCACAAGCAGCACACCACACTCACTGTATCTCCTGAAGCACTGTAAGAGCACACAAGAGCACAGCTGTGTCCACATCCCTTCTTAAAGCTGAGTTCTCTAAAAAAAAAAAAAAGATGGAAAAGTGCTGTGGGATGTTCTGTATGTCCTGTGGGGAGCCTGTTCTCGGGTTCCTCATGGCTTTACCCAGCAGGTCTGCATAGAGGATGATTAGGACCACGGGCCTGAGTGCAGGTGTCTGAGATGATCTGCACTTGGCTGTGCTGCGGGATGGTCTGTATGTCAAGTTGCTCTGATTGGTCAATAAATAAAACCTGATTGGCCGTGGCTAGGCAGAAAGTATAGGCGGGACTAACAGAGAGGAGAAATAAAAGGACAGGAAGGCAGGAGTCACTGCCAGCCGCCACCCTGACAAGTAGCATGAAAAGATGCCGGTAAGCCACGAGCCACGTGGCAAGGTATAGATTTATGGAAATGGATTAATTTAAGCTATAAGAACAGTTAGCAAGAAGCCTGCCACAGCCATACAGTTTGTAAGCAATATAAGTCTCTGTGTTTACTTGGTTGGGTCTGAGCGGCTGTGGGACTGGCAGGTGAGATTTGTCCTGACTGTGGGCAAGGCAGGAAAACTCTAGCTACAGAAAAGAATACCTCTAAGCCAGTGTGGTGGCCCATGCCTTTAATCCCAGCACATGGTAGGCAAAAGCAGGTGGATTTCTGTGAGTTCTGGGCCAGCCTGATCTCCACAAGGAGTTCTAGGACAGCCAAGACTACATTGAGAGACCTGTCTCAAAAAACAAAAGAAAGAAAGAGAAAGAGAAAGAGAGAGAGAGAGAGAGAGAGAGAGAGAGAGAGAGAGAGAGAGAGAGAGAGAATATATCTAATGTCTCTTCTATGTGCCAGGGCTACATAGTGAGGGCCTGTCTCAAAACAAAAAACAAAAACACCTCAGGGGGCTGGAGAGATGGCTCAATGGTTAAGAGCACTGACTGCTCTTCCAGAAGACCCCAGTTCAATTCCCAGTACCACATGGTAGCTCTCAACTGTCTGTAACTCCAGTTCCAGGGGATCAGACACCCTCATCCAGACATACATGCAGGCAAAACACTAATGCACATAAAATAAATAAATTGTTTTAAAAAGATAAAATAAAAAAAAGGATTTACTTTAAAAAAACAAAAAAAAAAAAATAAAAACCCCTCAGGACAGCACAAGCACTAAGAGGTACATTTCACTATCATCAACAGGACAGTTGACTGAGTCAGGAACCCTATTGTTCGTTCACCTGAGAGCTCTCTGACCTGAACTCAGCAAATCAGAATGCCAGGGCTGGGAATCTGTTTACCTAAGAAGAGACCCAGAGGATTCTGAAAGCTGGCCAGGCAGCACTCTCCTTCAGCACCTCACAGATTTGGTCCTTCCTTTCTCTCTCTCTCTCTCTCTCTCACACACACACACACACACACACACACACACACACACACACACACACACACACACACACACACAGGGGTTGGGAGAATGGCAGTGCCATATGAAGAAAAGCTTTCAGTTAAAGAGGAAATGGTGATTATTTCTAGGTACAATCATGATTTTTATAAAGCCTTGGAAGTGTAACTTGAGTTTGCTTTTGGTCTAAATGCAAGGAAATGGAATAAACAAAACAATCTATCACGGCCCCTCACGGGTGACTCTAAAACAAGCAAAGGCAAAGATGGCACACAGAAGGCCAGCACAATGCATGCAATCTGCAGTCCTGGCTGCCAGAAGGCTGACGCAAGGACGTCTCTGTGTCCCAGAAGGTTAAGACAAGCCTGGGCAACAAAGCAAGACCCCTTCTCAAAGGAAAGATTCATTATTTAAATAGTATATGCTGTTCTAGTTTATATGTTATGAGACTTGAGCATTTACAGATCTTGGTTACCTATGCAAGGTTCCGATGGCAATCTTGCAGATACTGAGGGATGACTCCGTATGAAAAGGGACATGTGTCAGCCATCACAGCAACACAATGACAACACAAGGATGTCACCTCTACTACACATCATCAATGGTTGCTCCTCTACAAAGCACTCTCTGAAGTTTCCTCCCTTTTCTCCAGTTCTGCAGCTCTTTAAACCACACCTCTTGCTGGGTGCCTTTAATCCCAGCACTCGGGAGGCAGAGGTGGTGGGTCTCTGTGAGTTCGAGGCCAGCCTGGACTACAAAGTGAGTTCCAGGACAGTCAGGACTACACAGAGAAACCCTGTTTTGAAAAAAAAAAAAAAAAAACAAAAGAAAAAAGAAAAAACTGCATCTCTTTTCAGAACACAACCTCCTAGGAGTCTTTTATTATTTACCCACACATTGCCTCTTACTAGACTTGAAATTCTAAGACCAAAAGTCAGTTCTGCTGGATCTTTTTGTCATCTCCAGCCTGATACAATGACGACCTACTCACAGTACCAACCTGAGCATTTGTGAATGGGCAGATTTTTAGTCACGTACAGAACACTTCTGCCAGCTCCCACACCTCAAGTATTCTTACCACAACATCTTCCAAGATCTTAGTGGGGCAAGGTCTGGAATGAAACTCAAAGTGTTCGTCCTCGGATTTTTTCTTTGACTCTCGATCCTGAATTCGTTTCTCAATTTCTAAATCAAAACCAATAGGCTGAGTGGGAGGTTTAACAGGAGGTCTCTTGGGCAAGATGGGGCCACTTCCAAAAATTCTGGGATCAAGTTCCCGGGCTTTGAATTTATATCTGTAAAGAGAGAATTTAAATAATAAACACAAAAGGCTTTTTAAATTAAACAAAAACTACACAAAGTAGAACAACACCTATTAAATAAGCGATAAGATAATCCACCCTGTGCAGCAAAATCTCTCCTCTCCATCTCATCTTCTACACCTCCTGAGAAGAGTAAATGAAGCAGCCGGAAATTCCTACAGGGGCTTGGGGCTCCCTGACGACAGGCACCCGTAACCCTAGCATTCAGAAGGTAGAGACAGGGACTTGGGGCTCCCTGACAACAGGCACCTGTAACCCTAGCATTCAGAAGGTAGAGACAGGGGACCAGAAACTCAAGTCTGGGGCTGGAGAGCTGGCTTGGGGTTAAAGGACTGGCTGCTACTCCAGAAAGCCTCAGTTCCCAGCACCCACGGCAAACAACCATTTGTAACCATCTCCAGTTCCAGAGGGTATGGTGATATTTTATTTGTGCTGAAATGTGATTTTATTTGTATGTTAATAAATAAAGTTGCCTGGGTTTCAGAGCTAATAGCAAGCCATAGCAGAAGTCTGGCAGTGGTAGCACATGCCCTTAATCCCAATCACATGACAGGCAGATCTCTATGTGTTCAAGGATACCACCAGCATGGAGACACACACCTTTAATCTCAATACCGACCATAAAAGACCTGGAGGTCTGCATAGATGGGCAGTGACGAGGAGGTCATGTGGTTGAGTTTACAAACGATGAGAAGGCAGAACAGAAAGTCTATAAAAAGACAGATACACAGGAAGTAGCGCTCTGGCAGAGAGGAAGGACAGCAGTGCCAGTGAAGGGTAAGCTCAGCTCTCAGCTACTGCTCTGACCTCTTGGGCTTTTAACTCTGCAATTGGCTCTGTGTTTCTTATTTAATAAGACTGTTCATCTACAAGAGGGTCCAACATCTTCTTCTGGCTTCCTTGGGCACCAGGCATGCCAGTGGTGCAGATACTGCATGAAAGCAAACCTCCCATAAATATAAAATAAAAATTTAAAAAAAATCAAAGTCATCTTTGCTAATAGCAACTTTGAAACCCTATCTTTAAAAAAGATAGAGCTGGGGCTGGAGAGATGGCTCAGAGGTTAAGAGCACTGACTGCTCTTCCAGAGGTCCTGAGTTCAATTCCCAGCACCCTCTTGGTGGCTCATAACCATCTGTAATGAGATCTGGTGCCCTCTTCTATGTGCATAATAAATAAATAAATGAAAAAAAAAAAAAAAAAGATAGAGCCAACGCTGGTAACATGGTCTGTAATCCCAGCAATTCAGGCCTAGGCAAGAGAATTGGATAACAACTAAAACACACCTCAGCTAAAACGCCAGCACAAGCAACTCAGTGAGGCTCTAAGTTAAAAAGGGCTGGGGTGTATTGTAGCTCAACAGCAGTGTCTGTCTTACCTGCACAAAGGTCCTGGGTTTCACCCCAACACCACAAAGATCAGGGATGATCTTGGCAGGCAAGTTTCAGCACTGACTACACTAAGTCCCAGCCTTTCCCAAGAGTAAAGCTGTAAAAATGCTTTGAAAGTCAGGAGGAGGTAAGGTCTAGACCAACCTTAGTCCTTAACTGGAATCCAAAAGTAAGTTCTGCCATCCCTACTTCTGCATTGGATTTTCACCAGCTTCTGCTCCAGCGCACCTCCCTGTTCCCACTTTCATTCACAGACAGGAAGGAGCACAGGCGACAGCCACTGTGAGAAGTGGCAGCAACGGCTGCCCTGCAGGCCGGACGCAGCCAGGCAGGTCTTACCAGCGCTCCTCAGAGAGGAAGTGGACTTACTGCTGCAGTTTCTCCAACTCCTCAGCCTCCTGTTCTGCTGCGCTTTTGCAGGTCACAAGCCTCGCACGGTATTTGGTTTGCAATATGGGAGTCTGGGGGTCTCTTGAGATCTTGGTCACAGGTCTGGAGGGTAACAAGTCTGTAAAGCAAAATCAGACATTTGCTCAGTTCCCCAAGATCCAGTTCACCTGTAAGTGCGGGCCCAACCAGGTAGAACACAGACAAAGCAGGGCGCCTGGCTTTGTGCTCTCAACCTACAGATGTTCCCTCCCTCCCTCCTACCACCCTTATCCAAGGGTGAATTTGTCTGCCATCTCTGCACTTAAGGTCTAGCCGAGCCCAATGGGGTTCTGTGCCACTGCATAGACCTTTCTACTGACAATACCAACTATTTTGCTTGTTGTTGACAATGTTTTTATTACTGTTTTAAGACACCAGACCTTTACAGACCTTTACAAACCTATGAGTAATTCCCAACTTCATGAATTTCACAACAAACATCTGTATCAAAGCAAGTCAATGGTAAAGCCAAGCATGGTGTACATGCCTGTCATCCCAGCATTTAGGAAGCTGAGGCAGGAGGATCAATAGTTGATTCCCAACCTAGGCTACATTTCAACTTTCAAACCAACCTCACTATAGAGCTACACCAAACAGAGATGCAAAGAAGAAGGAAGTCTGACAGACAGCTGGAGAAAGTCAGAGACAGACAAAAGAGCAAGAACAACTGCTCCAGAATGTTAGGATTAGACCAGCGGTTCTCAGCTAATGCTGTGACCCTTTAAACCAGAAAATTATTTTTGTTGCTACTTCCTAACTGTGATTTTGTTACTGTTATTAGCTTTTATACAAACATCTACATTTTCCGATGGTCTTAGGTGACCTCTGTGAAAGGATTATTCAACCCCCAAGAGGTCATGACCCACAGGTTGAGAACTGATTTAGAGCATTACCAACGCTCACAGAGGCTACTGATTTCCCTGGTCGGTAACAAACCTGACAATTTTCATAATTACTGAAAATGAATTCTTCTACCTAGACCTTATATAACAGTGAGAAAAATTAATTATCTAATTCATTTACTGGGTTCTCTTTTGAACAGATTCTGACTATGAAGCTTTGGCTAGGTGAGAACTTAATTCCATGAAGATAAAAACAATTTTCATGGTATAAAATGTCAGACTGTAGTAGCAAGCGTAAGAAACACTGTAGTTAGGGTTGAGAATGTAGTACATTGGTAGAGTGCCTGCCTAGCATGCACAAGGTCTTAGGCTGAATCCTCAGCACTGCAAAAAGAAAACAGAGAAATACTACATTAAAAGTAACTCATGTAGCCACCTAAAACAAAGTGCTAACCAATGCTTAGTAGGAAGAGAAAACTTTTAGATAGCTCAAAAATACATCCTGTTTTATCCAAAATATTAGCCATATTTGTTTTTGTTTTGAATATGGGTTCTTTGTAGCACAGGCTAGCCTTGAAATCACTATTTAGACCAAACTGGCCTTGCCCTACCTCCCAAATGCTGGGACTACAAGCATGCACACCAGTCCAGCTTAGCCACATCTCCTGATAAGTTATTTTACATTATTTTCTTTTCTTTGGTTTTTTTGAGATAAGGTTTCTTTGTGTAGTGGCTGTCTTGGAACCTGCTTGGTAGACCACACTGGCTTCAAACTCAGAGATCTGCCTACCTCTGCCTCCCGAGTGCTGGGACTAAAGGTGAGTTACCACACCCGGCAATTATTTTCCACCTGCAGATTTTATGCTCTTGTAGAAATTACTTTCATAAAGACAGAAACAACTGAGATCCTCTCATGTGTGCCCCACCCAATCTACACACACTTGTCAGCCTTTGCGCCCCTCCTCCTCCCCCTCCCCCTCCCCCTCCTGAGGATCACTGCTGCTGTGCAGGGATGGGATGGCGGAGGCCCGGCCCGCTAAGTGCTGGAGCAGACTTACTCTCGTCCTTCTTATTCCTCAGGTGGTATCTAGTAGGGGTTCGTCTGTGGAAGGCTTCGACCTGCTGTGCAATGGGCACATACTGAGAAGCGGCTTCGTCAAATGTTCTCTTCTTTCCTTTGGACAGATTGAATGGCTTAACAATGGTGCATCCTTTAGTCACTCGGGCCTGTGAAGAGAAAAGGTGTCAGCAAAGGAAATGGGATCTACCGCCAGCACATGCTCAGGTGTGGTGGAGCCAGGATCCTTACACTTATCAGTCCTTCGGCAAGGGTTACACAGTCTGACATTATGTTTCTTCTTTGAAAAATCTGGCACTTAGGAGATTGTTTTATAATAGTACATATGCAGTTTTCCCCAAGTCTATAATGCTTTGAACCAGTCAAGAGCAAGTTTTGTAGAATTCAAAGGGAAAGAGAAAGGAAACGTAAAACCACACAAAACTGGCATGGGCTGCTGGGTCTGCATCAGGTCAGGCAGAAGCCTAACTTAGCTCTCTCCACATAGACCCTCAAACTGACTGATACGAAAGCCTACCCCCACTGTGGATCACTAACTTTTTATCTATTTTTTTTTTTTTTTTTT